CTTCGGCGGCATCTGCCCGCGTTGCCGCCCTGCCGCGCGCGCGGCCGCCGCCGGCGGCCAACCGCGCGGCGAGCCCGCAGGTCTCCCTTCCCTTTGGATAGTTTTCTCCATGCGCTCCACCACCAAGCGCTACGTCCCGAAGGGCGCCCGGGACCTCTGGGCACGGTGTTTGGCCGCGCGCAACAACACCGAGGCTGCGTGGACTGAGCTTGCGATGCTCCCGATATGCGTCCTGCGCCCTCACACCCGTGGCGGCCGAGGCAGCAGGGCGGCCGGCGAAGCGCGGACCAAGGCGCTGTGCCGGCGCTGGCTGGACGGGGAGCGGGCCTCCCTGTGGGCCGAGGCTGTCGAGGCTCGCGCTGCCGAGCCCGCCTCGCAAGCCTCCCAACGAGCAGAGAGGTGCGTGCAGCTCGCCACAGACGCCCAGTACTCCAAGAGCTGTTCGGCTCTGACCAGCGAGCCGCCTGTGGAGGTCACCTCCGACGTCGTCGAGCAGATGGGCTGGAAGCACCCGCGCAGCCGCCAAGCTGTGGACCCCGCCAGCCTGCCAGCTGTCCACGCGGCTGCTGCCCTGCAGATGGACGGCGACGCGGTCGGGGGGGAGGCGCGGGCCTTCTCCCGGGGCTCGGCTGCCAGGCCATAGGGCCTCCGACCCCAACACCTCGAAGACGCACTGCTCAATGCGGCCCACAGGGACGAGGTCGCCGACCAGCTCCTGAACCTTGTCAACCTCTGCGCCAGGGGGCAGGCCCCGCCGGCCGTGTCCGAGTACTTCGCGGGCGCCTCTCTGGTGGCCCTATCGAGGAAGGACGGAGGCCTGCGCCTTGTTGCCGTCGGGGAGGTCCTCCGGCGCCTCGTCGGTAAGTGCCTCTGCCACGAGGTTGCCGACGCCGCGCGCGACCGACTGGCTCCCCTCCAGATCGGCGTCGCGGTCCCTGGCGGCACCGAGGCGGCGGGGCGCGTCGCGCGCCAGTGGTGGGCCCGCCACCTCGGGGACCGGGGGGCGGTGTTTGTGAAGCTGGACTTGTCTAGCGCCGTCAACACCCTGGACAGGCAGGCTCTGATCCGCGCGGTCCACGAAGAGTTTCCCCTGGGCAAGCAGACAGTCCGCTCCGAGTGCGGGGTGCAGCAGGGCGACCCCCTCGGGGCCCTACTGTCCCCCCTAGCACTGTAGCGCGCCGCCGAGGCCGCCCTCCGCGCGCCGCGCCACGGCGCTGACGGCGCCGTCGACCTGAGTTTCTTCTACTTGGACGATGGCTGCCTCGCGGGCGACGCGCTGGCCGTCGCCGTGTCTCTGGGCGGCTTCCCGCTGGGCTTCCGCCTCCGCGCCGATCGCAGCTTCGAGCTGCTCGGCGCGCCAGTGGGGGACGCGGACTTCTGCGCGGAGCACGCCGAGCAGGGGGTCGCGAGCGCCGCCGCCATGCTGGAAGCTCTTGGGGCCCGAAAACGCGCAGGTCGCGCTGCGCCTCCTGCGCCCTTGCGTCTCCTTCTGCAAGCTGGGTTGCTCCGCGCGCGCGGCGCCGCCCGCCGCGCGCGCCGCCCCCTTTCTGGCCGCGTGCGACGCTGCCCGGGCCTGCCTCGAGCAACTGAGCGGCTGCTCGCCCTCCGAGGCTTCTTGGCAGCAGGCCCAGCTCAAGCTCGACAAGGGGGGGCTCGGCCTGCGCTCTGCCGCGAGGCACGCCGCCGCCGCCTACGTCGCTTCAAGAGCGAGGAGCGCTGGCCTCTGTCGGCAGCTCTACCCCGGCTACTCCAACAACCCCGACCCGACGGAGGTAGCCTGGCGACTGCGGTGCAGGTCCACAACGCAGTCGCGCGGGGCGCCGACCGGGCGGTGTTCGACCACGCGCAGCACGGCAACCAGACGGCCCTCTCCGACGCGGTGGATAGCGCCTCGCTCGACGGGCTTCTGGCGGGCTCCACCCTGGCTGGCAAGGCGCGCCTCTGGTGCAAGCCC